TCAAGTACTCGGCTTACTTGGCTAGGGTTCTGCAAAGAGGGAGAAGGTTAGACAAATGGAGCTGAAGTGAGACAGACATGGGAGCGGGGCCTGCGCTGGACGGCTATACCACCGAACCTGTCGAGAAAAATAAGGTTCCTGGGAGGCTTCTTCAAAAGTCTTCAAAGCGGCGCAGACTAAGAAAGTAGGAAAGAGGCTCCGGAGACCGGTTCGTCGAAGCTCCGAGAGCAATGGCTGGAATTGCGCGAGAGGCCTAGATCGTAGCCACCTTTCCCGCAGCGTCGTGGCACCGGCTACCCAGCCCAGCTCCCCTTCCCCAAACTGTCTGATCAGGGGAAAGGGTGTCCAAGGGCAGCCCGCTGCGTCAAGAACAGAATGACTTGCTCACATATCAATTGGAACTGTCCTTCTGCGTTCGTGGCTTCGCGGTGCTGACATTTTTGGGGTGTATCTGGTGATGCAGCCGCTCTGTATGGCTCCAATGCCTTGCTGACCTCCCCACGCAAAGTGCTCCCTTAAGGCACTGGTTTGAGGGATGAGGCATGCAAATTTCCGACCGGAATCAGTATAGGCACTGACCAAGCACGTCAATTACAACCTCCGATTCTGGGTGTGTCAAAATCATTCACGCACCCAAAGCTCTAAACACATCAATTCAGCCAACAGCCACTCTCGTTTGGTCACAACACATTTGCACACATGTACGCTTTGTGGACACACTGCCAGAGCTAGCCATGGCAAGGTTTGACCAGCTTGCCAGCGTGAGCCGTCCGAACTCAGCATGAGGCAAATGCGCACACGTTGTCAAATGCTGGGAATTAGCAACGGCCAGCGTCAAGACACTGGTTTGAGGGATGAGGCATGCAAATGTCCGACCGGAATCAGTATAGGCACTGACCAAGCACATCAATTACAACCTCCGATTCTGGGTGTGTCAAAATCATTCACGCACCCAAAGCTCCAAACACATCAATTCAGCCAACAGCCACTCTCGTTTGGTCACAGCACATTTGCACACATGTACGCTTTGTGGACACACTGCCAGAGCTAGCCATGGCAAGGTTTGACCAGCTTGCCAGCGTGAGCCGTCCGAACTCAGCATGAGGCAAATGCGCACACGTTGTCAAATGCTGGGAATTAGCAACGGCCAGCGTCAAGACACTGGTTTGAGGGATGAGGCATGCAAATGTCCGACCGGAATTAGTATAGGCACTGACCAAGCACATCAATTACAACCTCCGATTCTGGGTGTGTCACAATCATTCACGCACCCAAAGCTCCAAACACATCAATTCAGCCAACAGCCACTCTCGTTTGGTCACAGCGCATGTGCACAATTGTACGCTTTGTGGACACACTGCCAGAGCTAGCCGTGGCAAGTTGTGACGAGCTGGTCAGCATGATCCGTCCGAGCCTGATCCGTCCGGGCCAATCATATTGCACATGTGCAGGCGTCAAGTGTTGGGAAGGAGCAACGGCCTCGAGGTAGTCAACGCCATCAGGTCCGTTGATCAAAATCCAGCACCATTATTGCTTTAAGCAAAAGATCGGTCTATGGCAAAGGAAGATATCGTGCATGCCAATCTTGAAGGAGTGCTGAACATGACAGATGTTCACCTTCCTTCAATATTCTGTCGCGGCTTGTTCTGGGCAGCTCGCATTGCGCAACAGACGTGGCCAAATGGACCAAGCCAGCAGAAGGGTGTCATTCGGTGATTGTCGCAATGGCATCCACTGAAGCACGTCTTGACACTGAAGCTTGTAGCAACTCGCGCAGACTCTGGCAGGGAGGGCCAGGACGGCTGCCCCACGCCTGCAGGGATTGTGCCAAATCGTCTGACCGATAAAGAAAAGAATATCACTCCTGGCTGGTGCTCAAGTCCATTCGATGTGCTCCCGGCCATATTGCCATGCCAATAGGGCTTAGCCCCCTCCACTCTGAACCCATAAGACAGGTGAGGCACTTTAATTTCAAGTTTCCTTTGTTGGTTTCACCATGTTTGCTTGTCGCATCCGTCTGGATGTTGCGCATGCCTGCCCACATGTCACAAAAGCCTAGGACAAATGTTGACGCAATCTGCACTGACACCCTGAGTCCTGCTTACGTGCCACGCAGGCAATGTGCATGGCCAATAGTGCACGCAAAGAATGATGGCAATCCTTCAATTATCGTTTGCTCCCAAAACGGAGATTCTTCACCGAGTGCGATAATAGATTGCGATCGTGAAGCTCTGTCAATGAGTGACACAGTCACTATCCGTAGGCTCAGCCAAGGCAGAATGCACCGCTAAGGTAACTTACGAGCATCAAGCGTGCCCTTCACAGAAATGGCGCATGCATTGTGCATGCCACTGTTCTTTGCGGCTGGTTCAATGCTTGCGGAAAAGCGGTCCCTCTCTGCCGCGCTGTACAAATGAAACACTAGACTGGAGCATGCAAGTCACCGCTACAGCTCAAACGGTTGCTTGCCTGCGCAGGAGACTGGAGTGAGTCATGCAAGGTGGTGGCTCCTGGGTTCAGTGAAGCTCTGCATTCCCGGACTATGCGAGCCCATTCGCGATGGTGAGACTGGTGAAAACCAACAGCGTCCCACGTGACCCAGCCTTGCGGGGACACCTCTGTCGCTCAAGTGGCATACAAGTCTGCTCCTCAGCAGACACAAGATTGGACAGTGCAACGGCGCGGCACTGATGGTCATGTTGACGCAGCATGCCTTGCATTCCATGGACCTGTTTCTCACGCCTGAGAGGGTTGCGCGGCGACAAAAACTGTTCGCCTTTTCCTCAGGCAGTTCTCGCGGGGCAATGCCTCCGCGGAACCCGCAACCAGTGCTTAGGACAATATGTGGCTGCACGCCTGCTTCTCAATTGCTTCGGGGTGACCCCCTCATCAGCCCGATGACTCCAAAAAAGCTGAGCAACATTCGGTGCACTTTTCCCTGGGCTCTTGATGGCTTTGACACCGCGCATTTGGAAGCCACCTGATGTGGCGTGCAAGTGCGCAACACGATTGCCGAGTGAACTTTTGAGCTTGCCACTCGACGGGCTCCAATGGTCCAAGTCCGTGCCAGGTGCAAAAGTGACACATCCATGACTTTGGAAATAAATCGAAACCAAGGCACTTCCCTCAGGTGAACTCTCTGCTCATGACGAGCCCGCGATGAAGGCCAGACTGGACTTCGGTCCGTGCCAGTGCGCCATTTTCAGCTTGCCTCCCAGGACCACAAGCTACGGGCCCTCTTTGCTTCACCGTCGTAAGGCTCCCTGCGCATATGGACATGATTCGGCTAGGCTCGCATCTGCACAACGTGCTGATTCGACTCTTTGTAGCGCTACGATTCTAAGCATCTTACCAGGAAGCGCCCACCTGACCTTTCCAGCATAAGGCGCCCCGATTTATGGCGCCGAATCACCGTGCACAGGAGAATGTGAGCAAAGTTCAGCGCTGAGTGGCACCAACCACTGCTCTTGAGGGATGCAGTTGAACATGTCTGCCTGCGGATGAAGTGTCAGGCGTCGGACAGGACGCGCCACTCCATCAGGCAGTATCAAGTGTTTCCGCGCAGGTCAGTCCCGCACCAAATTCCAAGTTGGTGGCAAGGACCGCACGGGCGAACACGTAAACCAACCCGGGCTTGCCTTTGACCCCTCACAAGGTCGGCTTTTGCCAGTCAGCTTGACAGTCATTTTAGAAACAGTCCAAAGGTGAAAGCATCGAGCCCAAAAAGCAATCAATAGCTTCGCTGATCGAGGCTTGCGGGAACTCTGAGCAAGCCAATCACCTCTGTCGCTCAAGTGGCATACAAGTCCGCTCTTCAGCACACACAAGATGGACAGTGCAACTGCGCGGCACTGATGGTCATGTTGACGCAGCATGCCTTGCATTCTATGGACCTGTTTCTCACGCCTGAGAGGGTTGCGCGGCGACAAAAACTGTTGGCCTTTTCCTCAGGCAGTTCTCGCGGGGCAATGCCTCCGCGGAACCCGCAACCAGTGCTTGGGGCAGAAGACGGTTGGATCCCGTGTGAACGATATCGGGACATCACACTGCAAGGACTCCGCTGCCAAGCTTGCACTATGAGCTGAGTACACTGCCCTCAACTGCAAAGTCGTGGCCTCTTCATGTTTCCCAAGCACAGCTGTGCGGCATTTGGCGCACGTTCATCCTAATTTTGCTGTGCTAGTGGCCTTGGCTGTAAACTCTTGGAAATTAGTATCTGCAACGTACAACTTTCGGAATTCGCCAGGTCCAAGCGTTTCAACACAAGGCAGGGAGGATGGCAAGATGCTCGTGTGCTTGGGACATGGTATAAATGACAGGCACTAGCCTTCCGTCAAAGACGCAACGCACTCGGCTGCTCGCAATGGGTCAAAGTGTTTCCTGGCACGTAAAGAAAGAAGAAAAGGAGCAAGCTCTGTGGCCTAAGCGAGACATAGCGAGATATAGCGAGACATCGCTTTCCGAGAAAGGCAACTAGCGAAGGGAGCTATCCTCTTCATGCAGTCACTCGGGATTTGGCCCGACGCAAGTATGCAAGTCGGCGAAAATGAACGACATGTTTTACATGGTGCCCTGCGAAGCTGCGTAAGTATTGACAAACTGAACCTTTTCGCATTGGAATGCCCTGAACGTTTGGAATGCTTGGTCTTCGAATGCTTGGCGCACACCTCCAAAAACGGACGAGCCGAGAGCTTCGCAGAAGCCGGAGCTGTCCGTTTTCTCCAGACTGACAAACTATCAAACGGGGCCGCTAGATGCTATGGCGACATCCAACAGCAAGGCGCAAGACACTAAACACAGCCCACGCGGCCACGTGGGAAGCGAGGTGCGGTCACGGCTACGAGTGTGAAAGGGCTTGGCCAGCTTTGTCTGCAAAAAGTATTCCTTGAAATCAACATGCACTCAGGATTGAATGCGTGGCGTCCGCGTTCTGAACAAGCTGTGCCAAATTGCAACGACGGAACTCGGGCAACCACAAGCTGCAAAGCACATCGAGCGGGTTACAAAGCACAGGCACAGTCCTGTAGCTTTTGCAGCTTTTCCTTCATGTCTGGCGCAGCTGGCCCAGGCAGAGGCAGAAGGCGAAACCTGACATGAGTTCTCAGGTTCTGACATCTCAAGACAGAGCTTCTCGGATGCCGCAAAGGACCCATGAGTCTGACTTTCAGCCTCAGTCTACTCAGCATCAGTTGCTTTGGCAAGGGCATTATCTGGACCCCCAGCATCAGTGAGAAGATGCAATGGCGCCACAGGCTGGCTGCCGGAAGTTCACAAGGTGTCTGAGAAAGAGCGCCAGAGAACATCACAAACGCGTCAGGTGACAAATCATGTGTTCCTACCGTGTAGATCGATAACCGCTTCGCCCCACTTGCTGAACCAGCTCTTGGTCTGCTCAGTGCTGCCTTCTCGAATTGTCTCAAACCACATCCAAGCGCTGTCAGTCTACATCACTGGCTTTGACAAAGGCCTTAACTGGACCTCCAGCATCAGCGAGCTGATGCAATCGCGCCACAGGCTGTCTGCCAGAAGTTCACAAGGTGGCCGAGAAAAAGCGCCAGAGAACATCACAAACGCGTCAGATGACAAATCATGTGTTCCTACCGTGTAGATCGATAACCGCTCCGCCCCGCTTGCTGGACCAGCCCTTGCTCTGCTCAGTGATGCCTTCCCAGTAGCAAGCCCACGTCCAACCGTTGCAAAGGCACGATACTAAGTTGCCCCCAGACTAGGCAAAAGGTCAAGCCAAACCTGGAGTCGCATCTTCGATGCACCGTTTCAGTCCAAACCATCTCAAAAAGCGGCTGACCAATACAGCCAGTGCCAAAGTTGTATGGCATCTCGGTTCCATCAGTTCACATTTCCCTTCAAACGATCGACATAAAACCAGACATGACTGAGTTATACTTTGCCTGAACGGCTGCTACCCAGCAATCTGCTTAGCATAGCTTTGGCTTGGGCTGTGGCAGGTGCTGAGCTAGCAATGTAGTGCCGCTGGATAAGGAAAGCTTGGCAATGTACCGGTACTGGCGTGAACAGTCGGCTGGATGATAAGATGTGATGGTTAGCATGGGCTTTCAACAACTAGCGCGGAACTCTTGGACTCACACATCGGTTTCAGCAGTTCTTCATACCTTCATCAACCTAAGGGAGATTGGACCGGCTTCTAGATGTTCAATGCAAACGCCGAATGACTGCTTCATGTGTGGTTCACACATCTGCTTTCTCGCGTCAATCTGCTTGGCATCGCTTGCTTTGGCCCGGGAATCAAATGGGAACCAAGCATCTTCGAGCATTTGCAATGACACTACAGGCTGTGTTGCGCGCTTCCCCAATCTGTTTAGCTGGCTTTGGCTTGGGCTCAACCAATTTGGCAGAGTGCAAGTGCTGGCTTGAACAGACTCAGGCTGTCAACCACATGTGGTGGTCACCCAGCCAATTCGACAGCCAACTGCAAATTGTGGGAATGGCATACTGATGTCAATTGTTCACACCTCAATCAACTTAAGGAAGTCTGCACAGGTGTTCAAATGCTCGATGCGAACAACAACTGACTGAGTCATACTTTGCTTGAACAGCTGCTACCCAGCATCAATCTGCTAAGCATCGCTAGCTTTGGCTTTGGCTGTGGCAGGTGCTTAGCTAGCAATGCAGTGCCGCTGGGTAGGCAATGTGCCGGTGCTGGCTGGGCATCGCTTGCTTCGGCCTGGGAATCAGTCGGGTAATCTTTGAAAATAGGTATTGCAGCCCAAGAGTGTGGCCATTAGTGACCCCTTGATATGGTTCACTTTAGGTCACTTTCCTTGAGTCGATCAGCATGTCAAAGTGAGCATTTCGAGGGGCTCTCAAAGGTTGTTTGACGCAGGTTTTATTTTTTGGGGGGATGGGAGATTGTGGCAACAAAGGGCGGCCTGACGGTCAAGGTTTCCGCCCTAGAACCTGGGCAATGGGGTGCGGGTGCAATGGCACCACAGGCTTTCAAAAAAATCGCAAGCTGTCCGAGCAAACGCGCCAGAGAACATCACAAACAAGTCAGGTGACCAATCACGTGCTCCTGTAGGGCAGATCGAAAACCGCTCCTCCCCAGTTGCAGGACAAGCCCCTGTTTTGCCCAGGGCTGCCTTTTGAAATTGCCTGAACCCCACATCCAAGCGCTGCAAAGGCACGGTGGCATTCCCTCTGACCTGTTTCACTCAGTCTGTGGAGTATGGAATCTCCATGCAGAAAGGTCCGCTTGCTCTGTTCCCCCGCCAAATGTTCTGTTCACGGATGTATCTATCACACAAGTATTTAGGCAAGGTGAGTCACAAATATGAAGAGGTGCTGGCTCGCTACAAGTTGCACTAGCTGTGGCAGTATTTGCGCGTGAGACAGCCACACCAGCATGTGCCCTCAAGCAGTGATTTAAGTGCTGCGGAAGGCAACACGTCTGTTTCTGCAACTCTCCAATCATTGTGATGCACTCCTCACAAGCATGTGGCAAAGGCGCGCTCAGCAATTAGAGGCCTCCATCAATCAAGGATGCAGGCAGCAATCCAATGTTTGCCGTCTGGCTTGTGTACCGATTGGGCACACATGCTGGCGATTCACAAATGTGAAGCGGCCTGACAACGTGCTGCTTGTTGTCATGGCCGGCTCATATCTTCACAACACTGAATGAGTCACATGTGTAGTGCGGACTCGCAATAAGAGAAACCGGCAGTGACCGTCTTCTCAACCCCGCTCGACAAAACAAAGTATGCGGGAGGCAACATGTCTACATGTCTGCAGTTCTCCAGTGAATGCGCGCAAATTGGGAGCTTGGAACTTAGAGGCCCCCATCAATCAAGCTCTCAGGGCCTGTCAGGGTGCCATTTAGCGTGTCTGTTTTGCCGCCAAAAGCAGTGTTTGCGGCACTTAGGTTCTAAACAACGCTTCCGACGCTTCTGGTGCATAGCACCAAGCCATGTATTCGAGCTGCGGGACTCACAAACACGTGCCATCGCTGCTATGCAACAGGCCACTCTGGTCAAGATGTCTTTGTATTTTAGGCAGCGAGTGGCCCAATGCCACCGTTTGAGGTTTGATCATTGAACTGCGTGGTGGGGTAGGCGAGCAATGCTCAGGTCATGAATGCAGCTTAAGCTTCAAATGCATGAGACAACAAGCAAGGCGTTTTGAGTTTTGCGAGGTCTCCATCAAGCAGAACGGGAGACTCGAAGATTCTGTGCCTGACAGGCAAGGCTACTTCCGCGCTACACTGGTCAACTGTGCCAGCACTTGAGCTACATGGTCGCACAGCACCTACTGAACACGGCCCTCTTGCTGTCACTTCTCACTTTCCAGACAGCAAGTCACTACCTGCAATCCGTCGAAAAGCGTGCAGAAAGCTGTGCCGGCCAGCTTATCTGCAATGCTTTAGATACGCAGGCACATCAAGATTCAGCGTCATAATGAAGCAGCATGGTGGCCGCAAAAGATCTCTATCAGTCAGAATCATCAGCCAAACGCTGAGGTTTGCAGTCGTCAGCCTCAAATAGTGTCTTTGGAACACTTGGTGATCCACAAACACGCACATGTGGAGGTGCTGGCTGGCATAACAATACACCAGCCGTAATCCTCTTTGCCCTCGAGACAGCCACTCCCCAAGTCGCCGTACGGTTTCTTGAACGAGATGCAGTGAGAAATCTGTGGGAGGCAACATGTCTACAAGTCTGATTCTGCAATTCTCCAGTCATGAATGCGCTGCGCAAATCAGGCATGCGGCAAAGGCAAGTTTGGAGCTTAGAGGCCTGCATCAAGCAAGCTCTCAGGGTGCCATTTAGCGTGTGCTGTCTGTTTTGTCGCCAAAAGCAGTGGCTGCTGCACTTTCGGTTTGGAAGTCCTGTGCCAGGACTGAACAACGCTTCTGGTGCATAGCACCAAGCCATGTCTTTGAGCAACTGTGAGACTCATGAACTTCCCATGTAGCAGTAGCAACCCACCTTTACATTTGAGGCATGTTGGCAAGGCCAAACACTCGAACGTTTCCGCCGCATTTCTCGCAGGAACCTCAATCATCAAAGGTCCACATCCGTCAAGACCAGAAACTCCGAGTCGAGAGTTGCCGTCAACCTCGCAGGCACCTTCTGTGACTCATCAGCACACAGGGTTTTGGAGCAGACGTTGCAGCCATGGGATGGCATGAGTTGAACAAGAGTGCAAGTTGTTCAAACTTCGCCAGCACGCGCATCCCGTGCGCTTTCAATTAAGCTGCCGGAGGCGACTTGTCTCGGTCAGCAAACACCCGAAAGATACTAAGTAGGCAATGCCCTGGTTACTGAGTCACGATAAGAACAGTGTCTGTCAAAGTCTGATGAGCCACCAAAGATGACCCTGAAGCAAGGTTCATACCTCTTGTCACTAAACATGTGTGACTTACCCACTAGCCTCTTTGCGGATTTCACCAAGCAAGAGCGTGCCGACTCTCACGGTCAAGAGGCGAGAGGTCAACACGGTCGAGTTTTGCCCTTCGACTTGTGCCAGCTTGCATGAAAGCCGGGCGTCTCTCTCACGTTGCTGTCACTTCGTCAGGATAGCTTTGTTGCGCCGCCAGCCTTGCGCAGGTGAGTGCTACAACTTGTCAGCCTACAAGTCGCCGCAATCAACATGCCGAAGGACTCTCCGGGCCGACGCAATGCATGCGGATGGGCGCATAAACTCGCTCTCTCATTTTTGCCTGGCTTTGGTTGAACCCCCAAGTTCAAAACTTGCACGGATGCGGCCGGTTCAACAGTAGGTTGCACGAAATCGAAGCCTTCGCAAATCGTGCGAAGGGCTGGCCCTTTTCAAACGCAAACAAGCGGCACTGTTTTCCTCGGCGAGTGTTGTGTACGCGACAGTGATGGAATTACGTCTCATGCCGGAGACTGGATTCACTCAGCAACCCCTTGCCAAAATTAGTCTACATATTGCCTGAACTCCTTTTGAGGGGAACCTGACTTCAAACCCTGTACCGCTGTGGCCCTATCTCAGCAGGTTGCGCACAAGCGCAGCCTTTGTGAATGACGTGTTGGGCCGCCTCTTTTCAAACGCACGTCAATGACACTGCTTTCCTCAGCCGGTGTTGTACATGCAACAGCAATGGACTTACGTGTCATGCCGAAGGCTGAATGCACTCAACCCCTTGCCAAGACTTGTCAGCATGTTCCAACTCCTTTCAAAATTGGCCACGGAAGAAGGCAGGCTTGACTCTGGCAGACTCTAGCCTGGTGCTTCTGACAGAAAGCCTGACTTCAAACCAACCAGGCATCAAAGCCGGTGCGCAAAGCTAGGCACAGTATCGGAG